CAAATCAGAACCTGAAGAATCTTTTAATTCAAAATCTATTTCCCTATAATTTTCTAGATCTAATGAAGAATCAATATGAATATCCTTATGATCGAACAATGCGTGTTCTCTCCATTCGTTACCGACATTTTGCAAGTTTAAAATAAGCTGAAAATATAATGCAGCGTTTTTGCTGCATTTAAAATGCAACATTTAGCACTTTCGAACATATGTTTTCGAAGAGCGTTCATGCTATCGCATTTAGCAAATGTACATTTACGCGAGTTCGAAATCGTATGCTTTTGACAAACAGCCGTGTTCCAGTCGCTTATTCAGATCCGTATCCATTACGATAAATTCTCACGGAAAAGATAATGTGCAAAAACCCCTACTGAAAAGGAAAAATAAATTCTAAACCGAAAATTCAATACAAAAACCTGAATTGTTTTAACCATAACCGAACATTTGTTTGTGTATATATTCATTTGTCGGTGCTGCCAATTATATTTTCCACACCTAATTAGGAAACAAAACAAACAGAGTTGATCACAAATTAATCCAGATTTCTATCAGCATCATATCGATGTTGAATTTGCGTAACTTTTCTTTATCCAAATAATGTAAAATAATAAATGAAATCTCGATCGGCGATCACTGAAACGCAGCTAGCGGTTGTATACTCGAAAAAGCAATGTTGCCACTTTTTCTCATTAAACCATGTTCGAATCGCGGAAATTTTGGAAGATCACAGGGATGCTTTTAGCATTTAGATTCTAAATGCAAAGATTGAGTTGCATTTAGTTGCATTTAGATGACGAATTTTGTATGGATAAATGTACATTTAGAGTAGCATTTACAGCAAAATGCGCTAAATGTACATTTACGCGTAAGCAAAAACAGCCCATAACGATGGAATGAAAAAAGTTATCGATAATATTTTGAATATTTAGCAGCAAATGCAGATTTGCTTAAGAGTGAAGAAACACCACACAAGCGGCTTGACAAACCAAGCGAAATATGCCTTTCCTTAAAGCTATTTATGTTGTGTATGGGGGTGTTTAAAGGTGTGACAAACCATTTGAGGGAAATGTGAACAAAAATCAAAATTTTTTGATTTTCTTGCCGCCATGTTGACGTTTGATCAAACCGCTTACGTTGTGTGTGATAAAATCGCCTCATTCGCAACGGAATTTTTACCGAATGAGGATGCAAGAGAGAAAAATCGAAGAAAACCAAACCCTTTTACATTGTGAACCGGAAGAAATTTAAATAAATAATTTATATAAATAATAAATTGTCATATATATGCAGCCGAAGAATCTTTTAATTCAAAAACTTTTCCTATAAATTTCTTTATCTAATGAGAAATCGATATGAATATCCTTATGATCGAACAATGGGTGTTCTCTCAATTCGTTACCGACATTTTGCAATTTTAAAATAAGTGGAAAATATAACGATTAAAAGAAAAAAATTATCGATAACCTTTTGAATATTTAGCAGCAAATGCAGATGTGCTTAACAGCGAAAAACACCACACAAGCGGTTTGACAAACCAAGCGAAATATCCCTTCCCTTAAAGCTATTTATGTTGTGTATGGTGTTTGAAGGGTTGACAAGCCATTTGAGGAAAATGCAGAGACCCTAAATAACTTTTATGATTTCTTTTAGAGGTGGAAAACGTTACAGTAAAAAAAATCTTATGTTACTTTATAAGAGTTATTCCCAAAACTAAAATATTTTCATTATCTTTGTATGGGCCATTTTTCGTTGGTCATAACTTTTATTTTCGACTTTTTTGTTTTTACGTCCCTCAGAGAGAGTTATTCTCAAGAAAAACTGTTTTCCGTTGCTCATAACTTTTATTTTCGACGTTTTTGTTTTGACGTTGCCTGGTAAGAGTTATTCCTAAGACAAAATTTTTTTTCCGTTGCCCATAATTTTTATTTTCGACTTTTTTCTTTCTACGTTGCATGATAAATGAAATTTTTTTTTCGTTGCTCGTAACTTATATTTTCGACTTTTGTTTCTTCACGTTGCTTAGTAAGAGTTATTCTCAATGAAAATTTTTTTTCGTTGCTCGTAACTTTTATTTTGAAGTTTCTTGGTTGTGCGCTGCAGTAATGAAATACATATATATGAGGCATTCTTTTTCGTATCGGACATCAAATTTGGTGTCACACTTTCTATGTGCTTCAAATTTTTTTATGAGTTCTACACATGAAATAAGCTAATACGTATTCGAGGAATTTTTTTTTCTTTTTTTTCTTCGCAGATATGATCTGTCCAACTTTGGATTTTTTCGTAATTCTGACCAATCACGCAGTTTTTTCAAATCGTTATATCTATTAGCGCACACAAGGGGTGGGTTTTGGGGTTCAAACCCCTCCTAAAGCTAATTACCTCAAATACGAACTTTATCTTAAAGCTAAGAATTCAGTTCTCAAGAAAAATTACAAGAAATATTTTTTATAATTTCTGTTGCTTGAAAAAGAACTCTCCTTTCGCTGTAAATTTTCTTGAAGAAATAAATATTAGAGCATTTTTCTTGAGAGCTGTAAACTGATGTAAGAAATTTTGATAAAGGATTTAAGAAATTTCTTGTGCGTCATTTTATGTATATGAATTTTTCGCTTTTCTTGAGAGATATTACAAGTTTAAAAAGCACCATCTCCACCGAAAACCAGCAGCAAAAAATAAATGTATGAAGAAAAAAAAATTTTTTGCCTAAAATATTAAATTTTTTTAAAACTGTTGATTATATAGAAAAACGTTATATGAACAGATTAAAGGAATTGTAATTTTTAATTTTTTTAAATTTGTTTGAGCAAAATCGGACTAGTGGTTCTCGAGTTATGTCTAAAAAAGACCACCAAAGGTGACAATTTCCCCTATATGATAGTTATATATATATCTCGATTCCTAACTTCTTTTTTACCGATATAACTTTCCCCGGTAGTTTGAACCCTTCCCGACCACTGACCCCTACCATTTGTCTCACAGTGTTATTATAGTCGACATCTCTACCATCAGTTCCACTCATGTGGAAACCAGGTCCCCTCATGTGGAAATCGTAGAGTTTTTAATTTTATAAATATTGACACAGAATGCGATGGGAGCTTTTATTTGATAAAAATCTGGATAAAATTTCTTTACAAATAATTTATCAAGAAAACACAGAATTGGGAGGTTATTATATTACATTTACATTGGACCCAAATGCGTGATTTGAAATCAGTCATTTGAAGGCGTTTACACTGCTTGATTCGCATTTCGTTTGACTTCTCATCAACTGAAAACAGAAAAGAAAAAGAAAATGAATGTAAACAAACACTGCACGCCTTATATTTTCTAACACGTTTTGGACACATAAGAGGCAATTATTCTTTGCATTAACTAAAAATGTGCGAATTTATGCGTAAATTAACAATTTTTATACACAAATATCAAAGATTTATTTATTACGTTAGCTTGTTTTGATTTGAAAAATTCAAAATGTCAAAAACAAACAAAAGCTTTTGGAGAGCTTTTGTTTTTGAGTTCATTTTGATTAAATGCGTTGAAATGCCTCATTTTGGAAATGCGAATTCGTATGGAGAAATACCTGATTTGACTTCGCATTTCAGATTTCTCGCCCAAATGACGCATTTGGGCTCAATGTAAATGTAATATTATTCTTTTTAAATTGCTAGAATACAAGTACGTATGTATGTAGTATCTACCGCGTCCCCTAAGCACCTTGGCCATATAGCGTTGTAATGGATTATCAGCATAAACCACAAATTTGTAGTAAGTTTGACAAATATTACGAGCCAAAACTGAGTACAAGTTAAAGAAACAATTTAATGAAAAAAGTGGAGCTGTCGAATGACGAGAACAGAGTGATATTAGTTATTATTTATGTTCTTTTTAAAGAATTCTTGTTTAAAACACACTTACATTCGTATGTCTAATTTTGAGCAACGGAAAGAAAATAAAAGTTATGAGCAACGGGAAACATTTTGTCTTGAGAATAACACTCACTGAGCGACGTAAAACCAAAAAGAAAATAAATGTTACGAGCGACGGAAAAATGATTATATTGTGAATAACACTTATAAGGGAACAAAACTTATTTTGTGTTAAAAATAACTATTATGTAAAGTAACAAAATCTTATGTATATTTAATTTAATAGTTATGGACCAATTTTTTTGATATTCCTTATAACAGTTATGTCTCTTGGAAAATGTGAACAAAATTAAAAATTTTTTGATTTTCTGACCGCCATGTTGACATTTGATCAAACGTTGTTACGCGACGGAATGAGGACACGAGAGAGAAAAACTGAAGAAAACAAAATCCTTTTACATTGTGAACCGGAAGAAAACTAAAATTCTTTGCTTGAACAAGTCATGTTTGCATGGGGGTATGGCGAAATGGGAAAAGTAGGTTTGAAGAATATTTGACAAGCCACTTGTGTGGTGTATTTCGATCTTTATAAAATTTCGGGTAGCTTTTTGTTCAAAAATTTGCAGAGCGATTTAATAACTCTCTTGTGCATAACATGGCTGCATTTGTTATCTGCAAATATATCGAGAGAAAATTCCTCAAAATAAAAATCCTTAAAAAATACTCACCGCGCATCCGAAATTGCTCACGTTTTGAGGAATTACTCACGAAGTGGCAACACTGGTTTAAAGGCCTGCACAATCCAGTGATCGGAGTTATGCCACATTGTGGTAGAA